TGAAATTAAAGGGTCGTTCCAGCTAAATAATTTGACATATTTTTTGTGCATATTTTTCTGCACACAATGGTCAAGATGAGATCAGGCACATGGAAGGAGCTTGGAGTAGAGCTGCTGATCCTCCATGTCACACCAGGAAGCCAACGACACACTAGAGACACTTTGCAACCGTTCCTCCGAAAAAAGAAAAAAATCTTGACCCAAAACTTTTTTTTTAACCACTTATATGCACTTTACTGACTAAAGTTGTAGGTTAAAATATATTAACTAAAATACATACCAATCATAAATTATTATCAAGTAATTAATATTATTTGTGGGTTTTAAACCAAATAAAACATTCACATAATAAATTATACGATTGCAAACAAGCAGCCGACAGATTTTTTTAGTCGCAAGATGGCGGCCAGTTTTTTCAGTCCACTATGTCCGCTCTAGAGTTTGTCCACAGCTGTGCTCTGACAAAAGAATATGTATATGACAGTATTACACTAAATAATATTCTTCTTACCCCCAAACACGTCTAACACGGTGCTACCAGGCCGTTTTCAATCTAGTCACATCAACTTTGTGGATACATACAGTACAAAAAAAATAACATAGTCCGACTGTATATTCAAATAAGTGGAATGATTAATAGTGATACATTCCATGGGATTCAACATCTCTGCAGGTGACAACAAAATATAGAAACAGTTTTTCCATAGAGCTGTATAAAGTATAGTAGAGCATCATGGTCACTTTTATACGGCGGCCATTTTGTAAAAGTAAAAACAAAGATAATATTGAAAATAGAGGAACTTTTATAGAATAATATGGAATGGACTTTAAATTGTATTTCCATTACATTTATTCCATCTGAATTACTTGGTCAATTAGTCTTATTCAGCAAATTAGTAATTTTTCAATATCATTCTACAGTTGGAGTTTAGTAATGCACGTTTTAAAAATGGCACCAATTTCTTTTACATGAAGCCTTTATCAAAACTATTGGCATTGAAAGATATTAATGAAAGTGTAATAATGTCAAAGGAGAATAAGCTAATGCTATGCTAAGGGGTTTGTTCAACGCTGATAACTGCTAAGCTAGCGTCAACCACCATTTTTTCAGTCTTTCAGACTAAAGTTATACAAGATGGAATTAAACATATGGCCCATACATTAGCATTAGACATAGCTTAAAGCTGGGGAAGCCCTTTTCTTTAAATAAACAAGGAAAAAACAAACAAAAAAGGATCAACCTCAAAACTATTTTGGAACAAACAAAATGTATTATTTATGAATACAAATAGAGTTAGGTACCCCAGCTTTAACAAACCTAAATTATTTGATTTGACGACGACCAAAGTAATCAGTGACTGCCAGGGAGAATTTTCGGGGAGAATTTTTGGAAATATCCGCCTTTACCAACACAACACGTTCTCCTTTGCCCTTTATAGAGCTCTATGGTTTTTGCACTGACAAAAGCAGCCACAAAAGGCGTTGCAGATTCCTACGCACACGCACACACACATTAGCCTCAAGTCTGTTCTAGAAAGCTTAGGAGGTGGAACTAAAGGAAAATAGTTGTACGTTGTAATTAAGGAATGGATTAGTGCAATATAATAAGGGGTTATGGTTGACAGGGAGTGGGTGGGTGGGACCATGTGACATCCTTTGGTTTAAATTGGGACCATGAGGAGTGGGGGGCAAAGGCTGAGACGAGACGAAACGGTGGAAGCAGAAACAGAATGCAATGATTGGCTTTTTGTCTTTGAGTTTGAAGAAGGGCAAAATTAGATTAATTATCCAACATAGGCTACTGTGATATTTACTTTTAATATTTATGTATAATGGAGAGATTATTATTAAACATTTTTGCAGTCACACATAGGACTAATTTAACATTTGACTCGAGAAATTCCCATAACAAAGTTGTTTTCGGTCTGTCCACAATGTTGTAGATCCAAATATTAACGTGGATGGAGCTAAAAATAACTCCAGGTCTGTCTTTGCTGAGTTTACAATGTTGCAACCTGGTTTAACGACTTTTTGCATGATACGTGTCCTTTACAACAGCTTTTTACCTATGCGAGTATTCCTGGATATGAGATTTGTTCGGTTCAGTTCTTCAGAGGATAAATCTGCATAATAAACCAATGAATCATTAATATTGCCAGACGTAATAGCAATTCATCATTTTCAAAAAAATTCATTCAACAATGTTTTCATGTCTTTTAAACAGAAAAATACACAAAATATTAAATTATTTGACCATTGCCACTGGTTCCTTAGAAAATTAAACAAATTATGATTATAATTAGGCTTATAGGATCATAATCCAAATATTAAACTGTGGCAACTACTATTCCAAAATAAGCAAATTTTACTTTTTATAACAGTTTAGGGTTTTGACGCAGAAGTCTTTGGGTTTTTAGTCATCTCTAAGGGAAAAATCAAATGGATTTGAACCGTTGGAACTGTGAGGTGGACAGGCCTTTAGCAGCTCCTTTACCAGATTTATTCATTTATCTGACCAATATAGTTGCTTTGTCCAACTTTCCACAATTTCACTCACAAATCCAAGAATTCAGTCTTTAATCTTTGCGATAAGCTATTTCCAATCCATTGCATTCTGTCACGACTTCCCGCGTGCCCCAACTTTCTCAGAACCCAAATCGTTAAGTCAGGCTGATAAGATACTAAAACCAAAAAAAAAAGGCGCTAATAACAGGCTTTTCCTAGACATGGCCACACTTTGGGACGCAAGGCAAAAGCAGCTAGAGCTCTGAACTAGCGAGAATGTAAAGTCCGAAAAGGCAATGCGCAAAATGGTCACGCCACGTTCGCTTGTGCCGCTTCCGTTCCGTCAGCAGTTTGAAGACATAGAAAACTTGCTCGGATGCACGGTTACTACTACTGTGTTGGTAAAGTGAAACTAGCTGCCTAAAGCTCTACCTGCAATTCATAAGGCAAGTCGACGGGAAACTAACTCGAGAATAACAAAAGTGTTCAGTCAGTAAGGGGCTGTTTCTATTGGACGAAAGGCTTGAGATTGGATGCTGCCGGATTGGGAGCAAGAACTATGCGCCGACACTGCAGAAAAGAAGAGAGATCTGCACGAGTTAAAACGAGTTGAATTGAGACTATGTTTTTACCTGACTTTACGGCCTAAAGCTGAACACCTCTGATGGAGATGTAAATGCTTATAATGGTCCACATGACAATAACCTTTCGTATATCTCAAAGGTTGTTTTACGAGTTGGGTCGGATTGAAGTGAAGGCTAGTAACTTTACAAATTCTCAAATACAAGTGCCAGTTAGACCCGCCCCCACAGCGTCCTGATTGGACACAATTAATTCAAATTGTTGCTCCATTTGGACAGCCTTTTGAAATATCAAGAGAACAGTTGGACCATTAAAATCATAATCAAAAACATTTTTGGGAGCTTTTTGGAACTATTCAACAGTTACTGCAGAAATAGTTCATAGAGCGCCATTAGAAACATATCGGAAAGGCCTACCATTTTCTTTTCATTTTTTTTGAAAGGGTAAAGTTAAAAAAAAAAAAAAATCACGTATTTTCAAAACCGGCATCTGTTTTTGCAAAGGAACTGGTCAAGTTATGAGCAGCTCCACTGTCACTTCAACATAATCATAACTGCATTTTTCTTATTTTAACTCGAGTGCGATTCTTTTGCAGTGTGGACAATAGTTTGATTGGATTGCCCTCAAATAATTCACTATGCTTCTCTTCTTGACCTTGGTCTCGATCAAAGACTCCACTCCACATAAACACTGATGCAACACTTCTCACACGGCCAAAAAGAGTTCAAATAACCTGAATTCAAGGTACGTACTGCTTTTTAGGGAAGCTTTCCTTTAGTCCTAACAAGTTTGACGGACGTTACGGTGCGATAGTCAATTCTTCAAGTCAAGGAAGGGGCTATTCACGGCAAACTCAACTTAAATCAAAAGGTTTTCTGTCTATCGACCTACACCACTTAGGTCAAAGGTTATAAATCATTTGAATTTAGGTTTTTGTCCTAAATGTAGGTGTTAATGACCTGGATAGATTTTTCCTTTTTTTTTTTTTAAAGGGCCACATTTCTTGCTTGAAGTAAATGTTTTTGAAATATCACACAGTATAACAGGGACAGACAGCTTGACAACTGCTTGTGTCAATCTCACTTTGGTATTATAATTTGTGTGTTTTAACCTTCTAAATGATCGTGCCGCTTGGTTTTCTTGTCATTGTAAATCAAGGTATGACCAATAATATATGAACCCTTCACTCCCAAATCTGCTCAGCTAGCAATAAGCACATAGAAATGAACAACCTTGCTCCTGATTGGCTCTTTGGTTGCATTGAGAGAGATGCGGGACGGTCTAAGGACAGGTGATGACCCGAAACCATGTACTGACAATGATTAACCCTTTGTCCTATGGACCGATGGCCTTTAAGTGTTTTGTTGTTGTATTATTGATTTGTTACTATTTTTTTTTCCCAATCTGCTGTTGGCAAATCAGCAACTGTGCAACCCCCCTCCAAGACGACTGCTGTTGTGATTTTGGGCTATACAAGAATAAACAGATTTTTTGACCACATCCATTCCTTTCCATTTGATTCACCTTGAAGCAAGAAAAATATTCTTCATTAAGGAGACACTAAACTAGGTCAAAAGTGCCAACATTTACAACAAAATCCTGGATAAAAAAAAAAAAAAAATTCTTTCCCCTCAAAGATATTTTTTGCAGCGTACCTTTCAGACACAACTTAAAATTCCGAATTCAAGTAATTTGACCTCGTTTCGGCAGCATATTTTCCCTTTCCGGTCACACCTAGTTGGAATGAATTCCAAAAGTAACCCCTTGTCAGTCTAAAGGGATCTGTGCTTCATTTGAAATCATGTTGCGATCGCTTCATCCTCCGCTCGGGACCGGACGCTCCACTCGGACTCCCGCTTTCGGAGCCCGTTCTATTCAATGGAAAATCCTGGGGGGTTCTCTTCTTCTTGTTCCTACTGCAGGTTTTTGAGAATGCGGCCGTAGCGGAAGTCATAAACATGGCGGCACAGATAGACCAGGTCCGGGTCGATGTCGGAGGGCACGCAGCGGTGAGTGGGCGGGGCAAAGTCGGGGCGATTCGGCACCAGTTGCCCGCGGCAACCGGGGGGTGCGCCTTCAGCACGCCTCTTCACCAAGGCACAAAATCTGGAAAAAACACATGGAGAAATATTTGAAAAAAAATCCTCCTCTAATTTACCCAGTAATATTATTAATACAACTTTGACTTATTTTCTTCTTCCCAAATTCTCAACAGTTTTTACTCTCTGTTCATCACTTAAAAACTGTGGCGCCCAACTTTCAAACCCTACAAAACAGAACTAACAAAATCCAGGGCTGTACAGACCTCAACGGGTGTAGGCAAAAACTCTGATATCACACTTTTTATTAAGTGGTATCGAACTGGTATCGGCACAAAGCAAAGGGCCAAGTTCTGTATTGGATCCCAAAAAAGCGTTACTGGAAAATCTCAAATAGAATCCACAATTTGGTTCTAACCATGAATCAAAAACAGTGTCTAAAGCAGACTTGAAGATTCTTATCCATGCATTTGTCTCCAGTAGGTTAGACTACTGCAAAGGCCTGCTCACTGGTCTCTCCAAACAGGCTGTATAAAAGGACTCCTGACTAGAACCAGGAAGTAGGATCACATCAGTCCAGTTCTCTCAAGTCTCTCCATGGACTTGCACCAAAGTACATCTGTGACCCGTTAGAGCCATATGAACCAACTCGGACTCTAGGGAGCACAGGGACGACACTCCTGCTGGTACCCAGAGTCGGGACAGTCTGAAAATGTGAGTCAGTCCTCTATTCAGTCTTCAGTGCATACATGATTATATCTTCACTCTTTTTAATGTATAATTTAATGGCTATTCATGATTTTAATGTCTTGTGTGATTTGAGTTTCCGTGTGTATAAACTGCTATACATGCTTCTCGGGGGCGCTAATAAATCATGTAAAGAAATATTCCAAATGGTTTCATTAAGTATCAACGTAAGTCCAAACGTTAACAGCTACATCTTGTTTTTGACCGCTTCCTTCCTGCTGTAAAACTGAAATGTGACCGCTGTGGGACAAATAAAGGTCCTTTTTATCTTGTATTGATTTTTTTTCTCACCTGGGGATACAACGAGGAATGGGTTCAGATTTTACAAGGAAGTAAAATTTAATAGCAGGAATTCTTTGAAATGAGAATTCATAATTGACAAACAAAAAAAGATAATCAAAAGGAATTTAATTTAGGTTTTTGTTCCTCTTGAACTTACTGATAAGAGATTATGATTTTAACACTGCAATAAAACTGTAGTTCAGGGCTTTTCAACCTATTATCCCCAAGGACCGATTGTTTTCGATGAGCTCTGGGCTGGATAATTGTAAGCATCACCAAACTGAACATTTAACAGAAACTACGCCAAAAGCATAATTCAGTTACATGTTTTTGTGAAAAGTATTGTCAAACCAGTATTCATCTTGGACTGGGCTACTACCCACTTTACCACCCTTAAACTTAAACCAGGCGGAGAATGCCTTTTATCATTTTTAAAAACGACCAAAAAAGGGTTTGAATTCTTAGGTTAGGTGCAACTTCTTTTAAGACCGACAAAATGAATGAATTAAATGAAGATTTATTTTTAAGTTTTGTTTACTGAGCAGAAATGTTTGGCTTTTCCCTTTGGCAAATTTTTCAAAGTGTACTTGAACCAAGATAAAAAAGAAATCAAAAAAACTTATTTGAAGATATAGCAGCCTAAAATTGGATCACATTTTGCATTTTGTATAGCACATTTACAACACCACCAGCTGCCCAAAGTGCTTCAGATGCACACACACGCACACACAACACAATTAAATACACACACAACTACATGGGCCTGTGGAATAGGCTTGGTATAGACAATGCTTTCCAGTAAGTGAGTAATCTTCATTCATATATAGCGCCTTTCACAGACCAGACTCACAAAGCGCTTTACAATTGTTGTGGGCTTTTGTCCTCTCACTCCACACAGAGTTGGGACCGGGTCACCATACAGGAGGATCATGCCAGAAGGGAAACCGGAGCACTCAGAGGGAACCTACCTAGAAATTCCACACAGAAAGACCAGAAGGTGGAATCAAACCCAAACCTTCTTGTGCTTCATAGCGGAGAATGGTCAGTTGCGGTGCATAGAATGGTCCGTGGCGGTGCAGAGAATGATCAGGTGCGGTGCATAGAATGGTCCGTTGCCGTGCGTAGAATGGTCCGTTGCCGTGCGTAGAATGGTCCGTTGCCGTGCGTAGAATGGTCCGTTGCCGTGCGTAGAATGGTCCGTTGCCGTGCGTAGAATGGCCAGTTGCGGTGTAGAGAATGGCCAGTTGCGGTGTAGAGAATGGCCAGTTGCGGTGTAGAGAATGGCCAGTTGCGGTGCAGAGAATGGCCAGTTGCGGTGCAGAGAATGGCCAATTGTGGTGCATAGTATGGTCAGTTAAGGGGAATAGCATGGTCAGTTGCGGTGCATAGTATGGTCAGTAAAGGGGAATAGAATGGTCAGTTGTGAGAAATGAAATTGTGGCTTGTGGTAAACAGAATCCAGTGCCAGCTCATGACACACAGACTTCATGACGTCTGTTCAAACAGCGGTGACTCAGCTCTAACTACATCCTCTCGTCCACTGACTCCGGCTCCAGCTCTGGAACAGAACACGTTTTCACAGCTCAAGAACTCTGCTCCGGTGCAGAGGATTCCTGCATCCGTCACCACGGAGGTAATCGCTCATCTGGCTCCTCACCGCTACAGGGGCCAATTAGAAAAATCCCTATGTTTAGCATGCACAAAGCCTCTACATAAACACTCAACGTGCATCCGGCTGTGATTGGGAAGAGATGTTTGAGCTTTTAACCATGTTGCAACATTTACAACAGCTCTATTGACACGGGCCATAAATAATTCAACGTCTTTACAGATAAGATTCTAATAAGAGCCTTGATCCCCTAACCAAAGAGCACCTCATCTTCTGACTTCCATTACGGTTAAAGAGGTCCAGGATGCGTTCCTCTTCTACCTTTTGTGCGTGTTGCAACATGGGTCTTTTTGTGTGGTAAGGTTTTGATGTGGAACATAGACGGCTACTACAATCAGAAGCTGGAGTCGGTACAGAGCAGGGCTGTTCTGAGAGCCATGGTCCTGGGCTGCACTTCACTTTTAGCACAAATACACTTCAAAAAGTGACAACACATAAGGTAATAATGCTCGAATCAAGTCTTTTTATCTTAATTTGCGTAAATTCTTATATATATTTTTTTTTCATAACAAGATTTGCCAATGGAACAAGCTGTTTAGTCTTATTTCAAGTGCTTTTGCAATTTATGTCTTATTCCAAGGTAGACATTTCTTACATTTTCTTTAAAACAAGACATTTTTACTTGTTCCATTGGCAAATCTTGTTTTTAGTCAGTCAATATGTGCTCAAACTAGGATAAAAAGCACTTGATTCAAGCATATATTGTGTCACTTTTTTCAGTGATTTTTCCATTTTGAGATTAATTAAGTTAATCTTATCTATTTTTGGTTTTTACTCATTTCAGGCATTTCACATTGGGCACAAGTCCCCTCTTGTCCATCATATTTTCCAACAAAAAATACATAAAGTTCTACTAATAAGAATAGGACATTTTTTTAAACAATGATTAGTTGAAAGCCTACACCATTTGATATTGAAGCATTTACAGCTAAGAAAAGACCGAATTTTTTTATAATGTACATTTTTCATCAACATTGAAACAAGGACAAACTCTGAACGAGAGAAAAATATTAAAATGTTAACCATTTCCCGCTTGTTACTGCACAGACGTAAGTGGCTATGCTTTCAAATGATATTTAAACAAGTACATAAACAAGTACATCGGAAAACAGTCATGAAATTAATCAGATTGTATTTCACACCACATTATGTTTCATTCTCTAACCTTTGGACTGCTTTACTGGAAAGAGTGGGAGATGGCACACTACACTTCTGACACTTCCATTTTGATCTTCAAGAAGAGATTCTGCCTGTTTTTTTTTAATTTCCATTGAAAACACCAAATCAAAAGACAAAAACTATTCCAACCAATCTCACCCTGAGTTTACCATAGTCGCATCGCAGGCTTTTCCCCATGAGCACGTCAGGTCCTTACCTACAGTACTGGGCGAGGGGCAGGACGTAGCATCTGTCTTCAATACAGGCCACACTGTTCTCATCCTGATGGCGCGAGGCGAAGATCTCCTTCTGCAACAAAGAGACACAGGTCGACTGAACACACCGAGCTGAGGCTGTGGACACCAGGCATAGTTCTTGGGGTAAGAATAATGACAACAAATCGTAAATGGGACATAACATGATCAATTGATTTGTTTCAGCTTTTGACCATGTTAGAGTTACTTTGCAATTAACACACTCAGCTGTTGTTAAGAGATGAACAATGTTTTAAATCAATATTCAGATTTCAAATTTACCACATACTGTATAACTTTTCCCCATGGGTGTCATTGATTAAAGCAGACAAAGGTCCATGTCGTCAAAGTATCTCATGTACTCGTTTCTCCTACAAATTTGAGAACCAACGAACTTTGCTCTTTTTAATATAATTTTTAGGGGTTGTGTGGGGTTGTCAGGATATTTTTTAATGACAAGTGTCAACACGGTGGCACAAGAAGGTCCTGGGTTTGAATCCCGGACGGAACGGGGTCATTCTGAGTGGAGTTTGCATGCTCTCCCCGTGTCTGCGTAGGTTTTCTCCAGGTGCTCCGGTTTCCCCTACCCCTAAAAACATGCAAACTAGGTAAAATCCTCCAGCGCTTGTCCTGACCAAGCCTGGAGATGGTTCCCCGGATAAAGTTGCCCGATCATTTGAAATAAATGATGCCAGAAAAGCTATGTGCGTAAGAAAAAAAAGAGTCCGGTTCAAAGCCACAATCCGCTACAATCAGAAATCAGTTAAATACTACTTTCTTCCACAGCATCACTTCTTGTAGAAAGATGCCTCAGTCTTCCCCGACCGCTCAAAGTTCAGTATTGTCTTTATAGAGTGTAAACAGCTTTCACTCTGACAGCAACAATAAAAAGGGATCAGTATAAATCACACACTATGATGAATGCTCTCTTGGGTCTTTGACAAAAAAGTGCCGGAATCGAAGTGTGTTTTTTTGCCCAAACGTCACATCCATCACGAGCTGTGGCAGCGCGGTCACACAGGCCGAGTCTTTAAACGCGACAGGGTCAAAGCCCTGAACTCCCACTGTAAACCAGCACCCCGACCAACACCACCTCATCCTCTTAGCCATGATTTTTTTATATATATATTATTAATATTAGTAATTAAGTAAGTAATCTTTATTTATATAGCACATTTTTACAGGCCAAGGTCACCCAAAGCACTTGTTCAGAGTTTCTTCACACTCAGTGATGACGGAAGCGAGACGCCGAACACACTGGTGCATCAAAGGCTCTGATCAAACACCATCCATTCACAAACCCGTTACATTCATACCTAATGTGGATGTTTTAGTGGTATGGGAGGAAATCTACGCAGACACAAGAAGAACATGCAAACTCCACACAGAAAGGCCCTGTTCCAACCGGGATTTGAACCCTGGACCTTCTTGCTAAGAAGCAAGAGTGCTATCCACTCAGCCATCATGTCACAAATTCAAGTTAAATGATCAAAAAAAGAATACCACGTTGTTGTCTATTTCACAGACCTACCGGTAAAAAAGAACTTATAGAAGTATATTTTCATTTACTTTTTCCCCCCACATTTTTTCCACATAAAAAGTTACATAATGCCCCTTTAAACTCACGCTGTCACTATGCATTTTATCCCTCGAGTGACTTGCGTGTAGTCTAAACTTCTTCCCCTGACCCACATTAAATACATACAATATTTTTCTAAATTACTTCTATATTTGGGGATTCACATTGAACTGGACTAGATTGAAAGGCTTTAATGTGGAGTTGCTCAGACAAACCAGCCTCTGTCCCTCAGTGTGGAAGGAAAGGGCGACTCAAGGTTTTTGCCAGAAAATCCAGAATCTGTGCTAAGGTGAGAATGAGGGTAATGACATTTGACTGTTTAGAACCTCAATACTATGTTTTGTATGTGCTGATTTTGTGAATCTCAATGAAACAAAGTGTTTTTCAAAGCAGCAAATTTGGAACTAAGACAAGCTAGGACTGTACAATAAGAGTGGACTAACTGAATGTGACATCACCCGAAGCGTTCGCCTTTGGCTGGAAGAAGTGGATTGTCAGCGGCTCTGACAAGCTCCAAATGCGGCAATGTGGAGCCCAGTAGTCCCAAAAAAAAAAAAAAAAAAAACTCACAGTATTTAACCATAACTTCATTCTGTGTCCATTCTGGAATTATCTGTCATAGATTAGTTGAAAACCAAAATAGTTAAACAATAAATAAAATAATGTGAAATAATGAACTACTATAGTACTAGATATTTTGGGTGGGAGGCTACAGGGAGGCGGTGAGCTACAGGTTGGGGACCCCTGATAAAGACCAATATAGAGTTTAAACTATCAATAACTAAAACAATGATTGCTGTGCTGCATCTAGAACTATACTGCAGCAAAGAAGAAAACCATTTATTTGTTGTCGTCATAAATGTCACAGTACTTTGTTGTCTAGGTTTAGTTCATACTTATCTTTACCATGTTTCTATTGTTTCTTAGTAGATAATTATTCCCGATCAATTCTGAGAATCTAACAACGTGGTAATGTCTGCGGCCCGTCTGAGTTTCCACCCTCACCTCACAGTGTGCGCTGGGGTCACGGCCTCCCTGCGTGTGCTCCGGTCGATAGTACCAGAACAGACTCATCATCAGCTCGCCTGCAACACACAGAGAAGCAAGGAAAGTCCATTATATCAGCGTGGACTTGGAGACAAGATAGAAGCTGTGGTTCTAGGACTGACATCCCCCATAGTGTAACTCAAACAGGCTCCATGACGATTAGAGCCAACTAGAACAGGCTCATGGAGGAGTCGTACTGTCCTTCTGCCCTATGGATGGATGGCTGTGCTCCTTCTCCCCAGTGGGGGTGGGTCCCGGCTTGAAAAAGGGAAGGAGCACGTGCGCTGACATATTTGCAATACCACTTCGGGCAGGTGGGGGTGTACCCGGAATAAGAATTACCCAATGCTGTTGTATGGCGTCCTCTTTCCTCTCAAAAATGGCTTTACAGGATGGTCCAAAAGTTGCTCTTGGCCCAATGCTAAGTTCCAGATGCTGTCAATGCTTTTTTTTTTTTGGCCCAGTCTAGTTTAGCCGCTGTGGACTTCAGAAGGTCCTTTTAAATAAATTGGGCTGGTGCCGGCTAACCCATGCGCAAACAGGTTGTTTTTTCACATTTTCCTGCCCTGCAGCGCCATAGAATCCAAAAGTGGTGGCACATTAGTTTCAACTGCGGAGATAGTTTGTTAATATTTACAGTCTATGGTCCTCCCATCATACACGGCTCTCCTGGTGAGTGCTACCTGATTTGGGGTCCTCCCACAGGGCGGAGATCTTGGCGACGTAGGGGAGGGACTTCTTCCTGGGTCCGGAGCGCAGCAGCACAGTGTCCCGAACATGGATGACTTCTCCGTCCCGCTCCACTCCCTCGTAACACTGACGCAGGGCTGTCTCGTCTTCACCCTGAGGACGGCAGGTTCGTTATTTATAGTCAGTAGTCATAGTTTCATTATCAATAAAAATCGTAACTAGGGATAAACCGATACAGTACTTTTTGAAGGTATGGGATCTTCCTCATTTCGCAAGTCAGCCATATCCAATACATAATATAATACTTTTCACTTACGGCGATGAAGACTTCCTTCTCCGTGGGCACTCCTACGGGCCTCCAGCCGTTCGTGGCCCGTCTGCGGCTGATCTTCTTCTGCTTGGCGGTGCTCAGGGTGGGCGTGGCGGGCGGAGGCTGCTTCTGGGATGCCCGCGTGCGCCCCATGGACAGCGAGCCGTTGGAGGCTTTGGAGGGGGAGGGCTTTGAGGGCGGCTTGGTGGACGTCTTGTCGGGCTGGGGACATTCTTTGGCCAGTTTGAGGCGGGCCGGGGGCTGGGGCGGCAGCAGCTGGGGTTTGGTGTTTTGAGTGGAAGTGGGCGGGGTGGAGAGGGGGCAGGTGGACATGGGGAGTGAGGAGGAGACAAGCAGAGCCGGGTCGCCCTGAGGAGACGAGTAGCTCTCTGCAAAACACAGAAATTAGTCATGTAAACGAAACACATGCTGCCATCAAAGGGACGTGGTTTATCTTTTATCATTTCAACTATAAATAACAGATTATCACAGAAAATCTTCCCTCGAGCTAAAGAAATACTCGGCCTATGCCTGGAAAGATTAAAACACCTTGATATTATAAAAACTTTATGCACGGTGGCGCAGCGGTTAGTGCTTCTGCTTCAGAGCAACTGTCCCTGTGTCTGCTTAGGCTCCAGTTTCCCCTATCACTGAAAAACTATGTAGGATAGTTCAAGGTGAATGTGAATCATTGTATGCAATTGGATAAACCACTTGTCCGCAATCTTGAATGATGTGCTGCTTCAACCACTCACATCAAAGCATACGACTCCTCAAGTGTGATTGACAGGAGCAGTTACTTAAACCAAACTTTACACTAAAGTTTTACTCACCCACATATCACATGGAAGCAACGTCTCGCCTCAAATTGCATTAAAAGTGACATCCGTGTCTTCATTTGTTCGTATCTAAACTTTTAAACAATCACAGACTATGTCAGCCATCTTGGTTTTCTTTGGCTGGAGTGAGATGCACAGGTTTGCGTTTCATCAAAAACAGCAGAGGCAGTGGATTTTGAGAAGACGGTGCAAACCGATGTTACACCGGTGATCCTGATTGGTTCAATGTTTTTTGGGGGAGTTTGCTTTGCCCTCGATCCCAGAACCTTATGTTCAGCGAAACGCCTCTGGTGGAGCATGGCGGAACTACAAGGGTCTGGTGAGAGGGAGGCTAAGGCCCCGACTCCACCGGGCGCGTAAAACGGACGACGGATCCGTCCAAACATGTCCGTTTCATCTCCGTCTCCGTTATCTCCATGAGGGTGAATGGAAGTGGCTCCACTGCCTCCGCATGCGTCCGTCTGACGCACGTCAGACGTATTCCGTCAACGGCGGGTGCAACGGACGAGGACGGACGAAATAGAAACAATCCTATTTGTTCCGTCCGTCGACGCGTGTCGGGTCCGTTTTCCATTGAAAATACAATGGAATAATATATTTACAACATTGTTAAACATGTATTGATATATGCTGTAGTCCTTGGTTAGAAATATTTGTTAATGACAATGATTATTAACAAACGTGTGTAATGTTTTTCATGTATTAATTTAAATAATTGTTTCCTGATTGTAAATCTACCATTTATTTTTCGCGTAATGTCAATACACTAATCTTTACATACACCTCGCTCTTTTTTTCTCTCGCTCTGTCCCGTCTACCTCCGAGGCGCTCTCTCCTCACCGCCACACACACACACACACCCACACACTCACACTCACACACACACAGAGCTGCACTTATGAGAGACAGATCTCACAACACTGGATATGTTGGAGTTCTTTTCTCTTTTCTCTCTCCCCTTTTTCCAATTGCTTTCAATAAGTTTTGCCTCATCCATCAAGAAGTCCTCAATGCTTCAATGTGCTGTGCTTTGCACTGATCACAGCCACAGCTCATGCACATCACACACCGCTTCTTCTATTTAAAACTATAGCTCTGCCTGTTGCCTAAAGCCGCAGAGAGGCGAGTTGGGTCCGATAAAAGTGTATGACGCGCTAAATAAGTAGAAAACAAACGAAGAGGCTGGATCATGATTCATAATAAACGCTGCAGTCACAGACCCAAACACACATGCACGCACACGCCTCCCACCACACACACACACACACATGCGGGCGGTCTCACGCACACGCTCACGCACACATGCACGCCGACAATACATAACTCCTCCATCAGCCAAACATGCATTCATTCACACAATGCCCAAACATGTCTCCTACAAAAACAAAGCAGGCTGATAAACGCACAGCCAGAGTTGCGCGCTGCTGCAGCCGGTTTGACCACTAGTCCGTTTTACGGACGGCTGACGGACAGCAGCCAACGCGCGTCAACGGAGACGCGCCCGGTGGAGTCCAGGCCTCAGGCCCTGCACAAATCTTTTGGTAAAAGTACTTCTAGTATCCTGCTCAGCTGAGACATACGTTTCTATACGTTTTAGCACCATATAAACATACATTCCAGTATTTATGATTTCAAAGATAATGAAATAAAAAATAATGAAATCTCTAGCTGGGTGGCTAAACATCCATGCACAACTGTAGGTGAGTGGGACTGAGAAAGTTGGGAAGCAAATATAAACAGAAGAGGTATCCACAGAACGACTCCACTAGTTTGGTTTCTTTTGGTCATTGGCAAATCTTTCAAGACAACATGAAGGGGAATGAAGTCAAACTCACCAGTTTTGATGCTGTGCGTACAACCCGTGCATCCGGTGCTGAAGGCGCACCCCCTGCCAGTGACGGGGGGCATGGCTCTGAATGTGCAGCCGCCCACACGGCACGCCTCTCCGTAACAGGGCGCCCCCACAGAGTTACAATAGGCTGGGTGCGCCATCCCGGACCCCCCTTTGGAGCCGCTCATCTGGCCCGAGCACAGTCCGGATGGGGTGAAGCTGAGCGAGCGCGAGGCCATGGTGGGCGACGAGGCGGTAGAGTGGGGCGGGTGCGTGATGTGGACGTAGTAGCTGGAGAAGCAATGGTCCGCGGTGCACAGGCACGGGTGAGGGCTGAGTGTGAGCGCGGTGTGCGGGTGCGCCAGCGAGGGGGAGGGCACCAGGCACTCTCGTTTCACAGGCGCCATGGCCGATTTGAGCTGCTGATTGTTGGATTCGCTGTACGGCTGCTGGCCCAAGAAGAACGCCAGGCGGTGGCAGTACTCCACGGAGCCCTGCTAAGAGAAGTAGTTTAGGATTTCTGTGAGAAGTTAAAATTGACCCGTGCTCTGAGAAATAGGAGTCTGTCAGCATTTCTCTGAATTCTGAAGGGGGAAATAAGTTTGTATCATGGATTTATTATGACATTGAGATCTTTTGCTAGCTTTAGCAGCAGTGCAATATCTATTTCAACCAAAAAAATATAATTAAATATCGTAATTTTTAATTAATTAGCGCGACAGTAGCTTAGTTGGTAGAGCATCAGCCTTTGGGCCTGAAGGTCGTAGGTTCTAATCCACCACGAGACCTACTTCACGACTCCCACTGAGGACTGCTGTCGTTGTGTCCTTGGGCAAGACACTTAAACCCACTTTACCTGAAGCCCCCGCTGAAAGATCTCAGCTCCTGTGGACTCACCACCTGCAGGAGGATCAGTGAGGGGCTGGTGCTCTGTGGACTGGGTGCAGCTCTGACTGCCGCCCCCCCGACCCAGAAATGGATTAAGGGGAAGAAAATGGATGGATGGAATTTTTATATTATCCATTAAAAAACATTTCATTGACTGTTAAAATATGGCAACACGTAAAATGTCTGGTGCATCTAAAGCAGTGATGTGCACCTGAATGAAAAACTAACTACTGCTGCTCCGCTGTGCCAGGCCTTGCCCGTCTCAAGAATATCCTCAATTACAAACTAAAATCAGTCCGTGATGACAGACTCGTATCAGAACACTTCCATCGGTTGGATGTATTCACCGTGCCTGGGGCTCAGTGCACTGGTTAGTCAAATGTCACCGTCAAAAAAGCACTGGGCAGAGGGGTTTGACTGCAGCGGCCGTGGTGGTGCTGGACAAAGTGTTACCTTACTCTTGGTTTTGCACAAGTCTGTCTTTGCTCTGTGCTTCGTTTTTGAATAGTGTATTGAGTACAGTTGCAGCAGTGCTCTGAGAGGATGGCTTACCTTTGGGGGGCAGCAGTAGTAGGGGCTGAGTTCCGCCTCCATCTGCTCCTCCTTCACTTGTTTTAGCGGGTACGACATCATGCTCCTGGACTGGTACCCTGGTTTGGTCAGGCGATGGGTGCAGCCACTGGACTCGAACTCCACTTTGGGCTCAAAATCACTCTTCTTCTTGCACGCAGAGCAGCTGAGTGAAGACGCTAGGGACTTTTTATTAGTACCCTTATGTTTCGGTGGTTTCCCCTTATATTTGACCCTTGCGTGCTGCTTCATAGTAGTAGGAGATTGAGTTTTGCAGTCAGATGACGTAGCAGTAGCGGTAGCAGTAGTAGCAGTAGTAGTAGTACTAGTAGTAGTAGCCGTTGCTGGAGTGCTTTTAACCCTTTGTTTGTGAGTGGCGGAAGTGCTAGTTAGCTTCAGCAAGGCAGCAGCATTAAGTCCAGCTAACCGTCTTGGCGCGGGCGCATCCAAACTTTCCTGACTTAACAACACGTCCCTGCTTTTCACTTTTGATTTGACTTTTTTGGCCTTAAACTTTTGGCACTTTTTGGGAGATATTAGTGACACTTTCCCGGCTTGTGTGGGTGTTGAATTTGCCTTAGTCTTTGCTGTGGCATCTCCGTCCGCTACAGCCGAGGCTTCCTCTTGCTTTCGCGCCTGTTTTGCCGCCGGCTGAGCGTCCCACGGCCTCTCGAGCAGGAGGCTGTTCACTGCCTCTGCGTTGAGTGAAGCCAGCCTGCGCTTGCGTGGTTGCAGGACGTGCATGTAGTCAACGATGCTGGTATTGTTCGGTTTTGATTTGAGTTTTGGTAACTGTTTTACGTCCTTCTTGCTTTTTCTGCCCTTGCGCTTCAGCGATAACGGTCGGCGGTGGCCATCTTTCCTTGTTTTGCGCTCAGAATCAGCTTGGCTTTCTTCCAGTCTTGTTAAGATGACGTGGCAGCTCAGGCCCTCGCTGTCTGTGGTCCGACCCCGCAGCGGATAAAGTTTCCGAATGCGTTTCTTCTCTCGCCTTCGGTCCAGCTTTTTGTTTTGGTCCGAACCTTTGGCTTTCTTATCCACCACGGTCAACATCTTTCTCCTCTTTTTGGCTCGCTTCATGACTTCGCCAATCTTTTTTGTCCGCCCAAACCGCAATGAGCGCTCAGGCCAGGGCTCGTCCATGGCGCCACCATGTGTCCAGAGTGGCGATTGGTCCACCCACTCCGCGGTGCGCCGCTGCTGGAGGGAAGCCTTGTGCCGGGCCTGAGTCATCACATGCTTCTCCACACGGCCTGTGAGAAGAGAAAGAGGAGGCATGTTTATTTGTTTCATTTATGTAAATGTTCACTGTTCATGTGGGTGCTAAATAAATAATTAAATAAAAAATTCCACTAAATAAAAAATAAATCCATATACATCTAAAAATAATTTCTAAGTCCTAATTTTGACTTTACAATATTCACAATAATTAATTTTAATTTGAAGTTAATACAATATTCAATAAATTAATTTTAAATACATAATTATTGTTTTTAAAATGTGGTTGAGCGTTAGATAATGGGCAAAGTTATCTTAATTTTTTACCAAATTGTATCACATCGAAGTCCCCTATATTTAGATGTGAACCGTATCATGTCATGTTGGACTCTGGAGCACTTCATGACCTTGTCTCCCTGCCCTTTATAACTGCACTTGTACATTGTATAAAGTAGAAATTCTAATAATTTGTTTAATTTTATAAATGTATTTTGATTCCTACTATGCCACTTACTCTATTCTCTTCTTCTCTACTCTTGACTTGTTTGCATCAAGAGCCAAAGCAATAGAGCTGCAACTAACGATTATTTTGTAATCAATTATTCTATCGATTATTTTTACGATTAATCGAGTAATCGCTTGGCTGTGAATTGTGTAGAAAAAAAATATTTTTTCATCACAAAAAGCTAAAGTGGCAACACTTGAGGACGTATTGATGGCGTAAACTTAAAGTAAATGTTTGTAACAGGCTCTTTGTGCTAATTCTGCACATCTGATTGGGTGAAACAGACAGATATTCATGAAATTATAAAAACAAAGTTGGTTTTAATCAAAAATACTACATTTTCATGTCATTTTTGCTCTGTTTGAGTCTGTGTGAACCAGAAAACGATTAATCGATTACTAAAATAGTTGTCGACTATTTCAATAATCGATTAGTCGTCGATTAATCGATTAGTTGTGTCAGCCCTACAAAGCAATCTCCTCGTCTGACTTCCAGTTAATTATATGGCAATAAAAATGATTCTGATGATTCTGTTAAGAGCTGAAAATCTCAGACTTCAACTAAATAAGTGTTAGTGTTAATTTTGGCTTTTAATAGACAGAAATTAATCTATGGAACACACATTTATCCAATAGGTAATACATCTGTGCATGTACCAACTGAAAGACATATCAGATCACAACATGTCGTCTTCATCTTCATAGAAAACGTGATATTTTCCATAATTCTAAGAAAGAGCTTGGCGAGTCATCATTTGAAGCTGGTGGTGGTCAGTGATGGGAATAACGGCGTTACTAACGCCGTTACTTTTTTCAGTAACGAGTAATCTAACTAATTACTTTGACAGTAACTATAACGCCGTTATCATTTCCGACATCCCGTTACTGCGCGTTACTCAAGACGCACAATGAACGTGTTGTCATGAGAGAAGGGAGGATGAGAAAACCTCTCAGCAATTATTGGCTGATGTAAAACATATTTCCTTTACAATCCACATGTCTACAGTTGAGAGGATGGCTCATAAATTGTGTTTTTGAAACAAATATGGGTCTTAATCGCGCTCAACCACGGCTTGTATCACCGTGAGGTCAGCCACAGAGTAGCGCGTGTGAGCGCAGAAGTCGGCTGCATACAATTCCATCGATAAGCTCCTTGCTCTTCCTGGTTTATCTGCTGAGGACAGCAACAGGTTTGGCTAACATACATATAACACATTTTTACATAATCTAAAATGCACATAGGGTAATTGAAAAATTACCCTAGGAATGATAAGAAAGAGAGGTGAAGTGTAAGATGGTTGATTTTAGAAATTGGATGCACTCGGCTGCCGCTAGCAAAACACAGGAGTTTATGGAGGACACACGCGTTTTGTTTTACTTTTTAAAACTCATTGGACTCATTTCCAAATGGAGGATTACATATCTACGCTCAAACCATTAACTGGATTTAAACAAGGAACTGGTCTGAACCGAAGTGGACTGTGCAGGTCATTTATAAGGTATAGCTGTAAGGTAAGACCCATAACTCTTAGTTTTGCGTTTTGTATGAACAAACAATGCGGGCATAAAACATATTTTGCTGTAGCCAAACAAATTGTCCACTTGATTTATATGATATATATGTTCATCTGGGTGACAGTAGCTCAGTTGGTAGAGCATTGGCCTTAAGGCCAGAAGGTTGTGGGTTCAAATCCCACCTCTGCACCTTCTCCACCGACTCCCACTGATGACTGCTGTCGTTGTGTCCTTGGGCAAGACACTTAACCCCACTTTGCCCAAAGCCCCCACTGAAAGATCAAGGCTATGCTCACAGTCAGCAGCCGTCCTCCTGTGGACTCACCACCTGCAGAGGATCAGTGAGGGGCTGGTGCTATGAGACTTGGGTGGCATCTCTGATTGCCACCCCCCTGACCCAGAAATGGATTAAAAGGGTAGAAAATGGATGGATGGATGGATGTTCATCTGATTGGGCTGAAGTCAGTGCTTCACCGGTGTTTCAACATTCACAGTGGTGGGTGTTGGTGTTTAGTGCTTACAGCACAGAGAGAGATGAAGAGTGAACAGGACTTCAGCAGCAAAACAGCCTTTTCTAGATGGGAATATTGGCACTGTTAAAGGTAAAAATGCGCACGTCGGGTGCACATTATGTTCCAGAACAAAACAAAAAAGTAACGCAATAGTTACTTTTACTGGTAACTAGTTACTTTTATAGTGGAGTAACTCCGTTAGCAACTCAGTTACTTTTTGGGAGAAGTAACTAGTAACTATAACTAATTACTTTTTCAAAGTAACGTGCCCAACACTGGTGGTGGTTCTCTATTTTTCACTGAGCTATCAACAGATCAACCTTTGCCAACAAACGCAAGGAAGCAAACGGGAGCTTCCTTATCCCCGATAGGATAATCTGCTTTAAAATTAAAACCAAAAAAAACCATGTTCATTGTATTTCTAATTAGGAATAAAACTACAATCGTAATTTCTGAAACATGATTTGTACATTTTGACATTAATCTGGGGACACAAGGGTTTAGACATTATTTAAAATATTACATACTTTGATTGAATAGTGAATGAAATGTAAAACGTGAAAACATCTGTTGCCATATTAACCTAAAACACTAGTTATTTTTTGTATTTTGTCCCTCCAGCCAGAACTATTATGGGCTGTGTGAGATTGTTGTTGTCACTGGTGCATTTCCGGACGGTGCATTAGGAGCAGCAGGCGTCTCATTCACTCAAACTGCTGCATCACAGGAAGCTCAGGGCTGGGCCTAAGTACAGACTGCATGAAGGAAGTTCACTCTACTGTACGTATCCCATGTGGATGAAATGTAGAGCAGCAAATGGAGGATTCACTTTGTCAAATTAGGAGATCAATAAGCAATTTAATACTCATTTAGACGTAGAATTGTGGGTTGGAAAAATAGTGACCCAAATTAACGGGTTAAAGAGGAGCACTTTCTCCTAAATTCACGGTTTGAGACAGAACTGAGTCAGAGACAGACAGCGTTTTTCTTTACCGCTTTCACAATGTTTGGCTTAAATCAGGACAATTTAATAAGTTACTGGAGATGTCTTTTGAGCTACACATGTTACACGATTGTTTCTTGTTTATGCTAATAACAGGATCTACACATCATCTCGACCCTTCTATCTAAATGCTTCCATCTCAACCCTCTGTTGGTAGATGTGGGGCATTACACGAGAGATCATTTTTAATACTAAATAAGTGTTTATCAATACATTATCTACATAAATGATCCCACATTGTAAAAACAGGAAATGCTAAAGTAAAATACTGTAAAATCCAAAATGCAAAATTGATAGAAATATCGAGATTTCTTTTATCCATGTGTGAACCGGCAGATTCACTGTGTGTGTGTGTGTGTGTGTTTATATGAGAAAGTTAACAGCTGCACACTGCTGGCTACAACAACTACAATTGACTGCTTCTACAACATTTCAATTCCACAACGTGTCCAGCACACAACATCTCTTTGACAAGGTTTCATGTGAGCCGCGTGTACTTCAGATTCATATTCAGAATGAGGTCACACTTCATTCAGATCCCCGTTTCTCCCCTTGGCCAGTAAAGAGCAGCCTGATGAGCCCCGCCCACTCCACTTGAGTTTCCATGGTGATGCTGTCACTCACAGGGACAACTTTTCTATTAAAATGAATGATTGAAGTGTAGGAAGGGGTGACTGAAATCCAAGTATGATTTCATTCATACCCTTACAAAAAGAATGAAAGGAGATAAATATATATGTAAAATAATGAAAGGTAAAACGTTTAACAAATATTAACAAATAATACAAGATTTGTCACAAAATCAAGGTGATCAGTATCGGCTATACAGTTTAGAAGGTCACATTAAATTATTTGTCTCCAAACTCCTGATCGACGCACAGAAATATATTACAATTATTTTATTTTATTGATAATAATAGACTGCTTCATGAATAATGCTTAATAAATACAAATTCTTCCATCATCAATAACTCCATCATATGATATTAGTGCTCTAGGTACCCTATGATCCTAAAATCAGGAGCTACTTTTAACTCATTGAGAGATGAGTTTAGGTATAAGTTTGTCTGACTTTTGGAACAGACATGGAGGATTCTCTAAAATACAACACAATATTTTGTGTTTTGCGACATCCCTAATTGCAGTCTTGGTTTGACAAATGTGATCAGTCAATTCTGCGATTAATCACGCAGCCCTCGTCATGTGTGAAAGTCACTATGTCCCACTCTTTTATTACAATGGACTTGGCACATTCCTTTCTTTGCCTCCTCATCTCAGCGTGAAAACAGCACATTGTTCAAAACCATTGTTTAACCTTTCAAGCCAGTGTCAAAAACTCAAGATCACAATATCATGCTTTTCTTGTCTCAATCTCCGTCTGTTTGACTTTGGTCTCAGCAAAATTATTCTATAATTAAAAAGCTATTGCCACAACTGGGAAAGAAGCCGCTGGAGTGCCACACGTACATACAAACACAGAAAGAGCTGTTTTCATAAAGATTTTCTGTCCGATAAATGAGATGAGG